AGCCGGGGCCCAGCGACGGGGAGGGAATGGAACCGGGCGTCGTGGGAAAGAGGGGGAACAGCAAAGTGAAGTCAAAATGACGGAGGAACACCGCCAGGGCGTGACAATGGGACCAGGAGACGGAGTGAGGGTCCCGCCCGGGCGGGGCTGCGTCCCCGGGGACCTTGGAAACGAGGCGAGGAAGGGGGAGGGGACGGAGAGGCATCCAGTGCGAAGCGACTCCGTCTGCTTGAGCTGCTGACCGTGGACGCTGTCCTCTCGCTGTCTCAGACGCCCCAGGGCAGACTGCGGGGCTGTGCGGGCCCACCCTCCTCAGTGCGTGCCACTTCTCCTGTGTGACAGGTGCCACTTACTGTCACAAAGTCCAGCCCAGTCCTTACTGAAAGAGTGACAAATCTATATGGGAAATCACCTGATAAATTTGTTGGAAAACATTTATTTTCACATTGATGGTGAAACTAAAGCGTGTTCCCGATACCTGATCACTCCAGTTGTCAGGAGAAAGTGGGTGTGGACGGCCGCAGGGAGTGTATTTTAAAAGGTACAAACTGGGTCTGCCACAGCTCCCTCAACATGGCCCAACCCTGCCCGTAGACTGGACCATGGCCCAACCCTGCCTGTAGACTGGGCGGCCGGAACAGCAGGAGTGAGCGAGCCCCGGCCGGGAGGGGGAGAAGGGTGGGGAAGTCCACGGCGGTTCGGGGGGGGCTGGCCTCCACCCGAGGTGGGGGCCGGGGGAGGGTGTCTTTGCACTGAGAGGAAAGCCGTGGGCTCCCGCGCAGCCTCCTGGCTCTGAGAAGGGGGGCGTGCTGAGGCTCGGACGGAGCTGCTAACCCCGAGGCCAGCTGTGCAGGACGAGGCCTTCGTGGGGCAGCTTCTGTGGTCTATTCGTGGCTTTGCTTTTTGGAGGTAGTTTACTGATTTCTTCCAGTGTTCTTGTTTTCTTCTGTTTTTACTAGATTTTATCTAGCAAGTCGTTTCAGTTTACCTCCAGACTTCTGGGCGTGAGTGACATCGTCCCCTCTCCCCGCCGGTGAGGCTTGCGGCGGAAACTCCGTATCAGGACGCCAGCGGTGTCTCACGGCTGCCCAACCGGCGAGACCTCAGTCTCGGGGAGGGGGACCGAGAGCCAGAAACAGGGCCCCAGGGGGCTGAGGAGCTGCCTCTCGTGACATTCTGACACTGCCTGTGCCTTCCTTCCAGGCCTCCGTCATGCCTGACTTCAGTCTGTGGCACCTGGAGAAGAACGTACTTCCAGAGGTGGCAAACATCCTGTTTCTGCGAGAATAATTTTGGAGAAAGTTTTCAAGGAAAAATACCTTCTTGCTTTGGAGATGGGACTGACTTAAGTTTGAATATGACTATTAACTCAGAGACGTAACAAAAAAATAATTTCAGTTAGGACGCCAATTAGGAGACCAGTTAGGAGACCAGTTGGGACACCAGTTAGGAGACTAGTTAGGAGGCCAGTTAGGAGACTAGTAAGGAGACCAGTTAGGGGACTAGTAAAGAGACTAGTTGGGAGACTAGTTAGGGCACCAATTAGGAGACCAGTTAGGAAACTAGGTGAGACAGTCCGAGCAGGAGTCCTGCGGCTTTGGCCAGGGTGGGCCCCGCGTCGACAGAGGGCACTGGCTGTGTGTCTGGGGCACGGTCTGGAGGCGGAGCCACAGCCGTACTGTTGATGGACAGAAGTGAGGGGAAGACAGGAAGCCAAGGGTGACCCCAAATTCTGGACTCGGCAACAACGGGTGGGCAATGAGGTCCTTTCCCGCACTTCCCTGCCCCCATCTGCCCTGGAGGCGCTGCTGGTCCCCCGAGTCCCCAGCCAGGCCCCCGCGCAGCCCGGAAGACCCCGGAAGAGTGAGAGCTGCTCTCTCAGCCCCTCTGGGCCCGCGTCTCGCACCCCCAGAGCGATTCGGAAGGGGTCCGAGCCGAGTGAGCAGAGCCTGGACACCCGTCACCAGGTAAGAGCCACTGAGGAGCTTGGCCCCTTCCCGGGGCTTCCTGAAGCGGCCTCCGGGCCTCCCGAACTCTGACCTCTTCCCTCAGTTACCGCCAGGAGCAGTGACACGCTCCGGCCCGGCCGCAGCTGGTTGTGAATTCACCTCCTGCCAGCCACCTGCCCCGCGTGGCCCGCTCACCTGTCTCCTGCGGCTCACGCTCGCCCCCTCCCTGGCCAGGCCCCGGGCAGCCCGCCGGGCCCCCGGCCTCACAGCCCTGCCCCGTTCCCTCCACGGCCGGGGCCCTGAACTCCCCGGCGGTTCTCTGCCATAAAGGGTTTTGGCTCAACCCGGCCTGGTATAACTAATGACCTTGGGCATCTTAGCCAGTCTCTGGACACCAAGAAAAGTCTGGCCGGCGGCCGCCACCCAGGCCAGGGTTCTGAGTCCCCGGGCTGGCTGAGGCACCGGGTCACCGCGGGCGGGGTGGAGGGGACCTGGCAGAGGAAGAAAGCTGAGGGAGGAAGGTAAGCTACAGAGCGGAGACCCAGTGCGGACTGACCATGCTGGGGACTCCGTGGGGCTCTGTGCAGCTCACCTCACTGCCCCCAGAGACGCAGGCGCGTGTCCCTGCTTGACACGGGGACCCTGGGTGACCCGTCAGTGGCCCCTCGCCTGGGCGCTGCGGGGGTGGGGCTCGGCCCGGGCTGCCAGCCGCGGGCACAGTGGAAGGGGCGCCGTGTGGCAGCCCAGGCCTCTTTGTCCCATCTCCAAACACGCGATCAGGAACAGCTCAAGCTGGAAGAAATTCTGGGAACCAACCAACCCAACTGCGTTGCAAGAGGAGGAAAGAAAAAAACCAAAACACAAGACTCGGAGAAGGAAAGCGGTGACACGCGGCCAGGGTGACGCTTCCCGCCACAGCTGCACCGCGAACAGCGCCAGGCGCCCGGACCCGCCCTCAGCGTCTCGGCTGACTGCTGACTCCGGGACTTCACAGCGGGGGGCCTGGGCTTGTTTCCCGGAACCCTCCCCCCCCCCCCCCCGCCAGGACACACGTCCCCAGGACTGGGCCTGTACGGCAGAACCCCTCGTTCCCGGGCCTCAGAGGTCTGGGGGCCGCGCACTGTGCCCGCCCGGGAGAGGGCAGGAGGTAAAAACCACTGGGGCATGGAACTAACTCCTTCCCGAGTGAAGAGACGTGTCCGCTCCTGGGGTCCGTGCACCGTCTGAAACGTCTCTTCCCAAGGCCGCCGCTGGCTTCATAATCACTGAACACGAAGGACTCCGTCCGTTCTAGTCCCAGTTAACCTGCGGCCTTGCTACTTACGGTCCCAATAAGCGAAGAGAACCTCACGGAACCCGTTCCCTCCGTCTCAGTCCGCCCTCGCCCGTCCTTCCCGTTCCTCCGTGCTCTCCTCCCTGAGAAGCCGTCCTCGCTGTCCCTCAACCGCAGTTGTTCCGCCCAACCCTGCCGCAGCCCCTTCCCTTTTCACACGTGGTTCTGGGCTGGACAAGCCAGAAGCTTTCTGAGACCGTAATAAACGTGTCCCCTCACCCCTCCACGTTCACTGCACTCGGTCTGCACAGTTCCTGGAGACAACTGCAGTCAGGGGACAGCGGGGACGAAGGCGAGGCTGGGCTTCTGCACCCGGGGCCGAGCCGGAGGAGACCCGCAGCTGGTCTCCGGGGCCCCCGTCACGATGCAGACCGGGGAGCGTGACCAGCGTGCCCGGGACGAGCGGGGTTCGGGAGAGACTGGCCTTAGGGGGTCTGGGCGGGACCTACTGACACAGGGAGCTCCGCTCACAGGATCTAGCAGGAACCGGCTCAGTGACCCTGACGTCAACTATTAGCAAATAACTTAAACACGACGTGTGATCCTGAGAACTGTGCATCGAGGTAAGGGCTGGGAAGGGGCCGGTCCCCACTGGGGCGCAGGGGGCACCACTGCACCACACAGCCTGGCCTCTCCCCCGGCCCCCGCAACCACAGACTTGTTCACGGGTCCGTCTCACCTCCAAAGCCAACGGACTCGGCCAGCACTTCTGCGGTCTGCCCACGTCGCAGCAAGCACGTGAGTATCTGATTTTACCTTTTTTGTGTGTGTGTGACTCTCTAATGTTCTTAAAGCATTTCTGCACAACCACGAAAGACACCGTGGGGACTCTGGCCTTTGTTACAATGTGCTGACCCTCGGTGGGCGTCTGCCATCGAGGGTTAGGAAAGTGACAGTGACCGGGTCAAGTGACAGTGGCCGGGTCAAGTGACAGTGGCCCGGCTCTGCTCGCCCTGAGACGGCTAGGGTGGACCAACTTCATCAAGTCACCCCTAGAAACTCAGGGTGCTGGTGGGGGGTGGGCCTCAAAGTCCTTCAGACTTGGTTTTTACTCATTCAACAGAGGGAGAATGGCTCATGTCCTAAACGTGCTGTTTCCCGGAAAACACAATGTAAGATTTAACCAGCCATGGCAATGGGACCTGACGGGGAGCAACGTTAGGCCCGGCTGGGACAGTGCGAAGCAGACCGGAGCGGGAGGCTGAGCCCGCGCCCTGCACAGGCCGCGTGAGTCTGCGGTGGACTCGTCTCCTCGGGGCCGATCCTCCTCCGGGGCAGGCAGAGCCTTCGGGAGACGTCTGCAGACAGGACGGGGCATCTGCGCGTCGTTTCAAGCAGACCTGAGCTCAGGGAGTCCATCTTCCTGCCCTCCCCTCCCCTCCCCTCCCCTCCCCTCCCCTCCCCTCCCCCTTCCTACTGTAGTCACAAGTGTCCTAAGCAACAAAGGGTTTTTCTCCTGCTCTAAAACCATGGACCCCAAACTGCACAGACCCCGGGCGCCCCTGGCTGCCCCCTGCTTCTGCAGACGAGCACTCTGAGCCCCAGCAGGCGGGGAGGCAGGACAGGACGTCGGGCTCCTGAGCCCTCCCCCCCGTTCCCCTGTAGTGGAGGAGATGACCAGAGGCCTGGCCAGACACTCCAGGGGCCGCTCTCCGGCTTCCCCCCGGCAGGGTCTCAGGACCAGCAGGGGGCGCGGCGGCGGCGGCGGCCTCACTCACCCACGAACAGCTGGCTGTACAGCTCCAGGCGGGTGTGGCCCTCGGTCGGCGCCTTCCGGGTCTGCTGGGGCAGCCGGTCCACCTGCAGGCTGGCCTGCTTGACGTTCCTCTCCGCGGTGACGCGGTGCCACTGGTCGTCGTTGAGCGGCGTGGGCGACCTCACCACGATCTCCACGGGCCCGTTCCCCACGTCGAAGGAGAAGGACACCTCTGTGGCAGCTGCGGGGCAGGGAGCGGGAAGAGACCTTGAGTATTTTCCTCCCGGACACCAAACAGCACAAGAACGTCACAGCAAGGGGAGAAGAGCAATCTCGGCATGTCTCTTGCTGCCGGGTCCCCGGCAAAGTCATCTGAATGAGGACCGAGTACCAGTCCCTTAGGAGCCAGTCCCTTAGTAGCCAGCGGGGGACAGAGCTGTGCTGGGGGCCCAGGCAGACGCCTGTTTTCTTCCTCTTTAGAAGCCAGTGGAGAAGGCGCCAGCACTGACTCCAGATAAGAAAGGTGAGGTCCGGAGAGGTGCAGCACATCTGGGGGCCCCGAGGCCGAACGCACAGGGAAGCTGGGGTGCGAGCCCGGCTTTCGGGCCGTTTACAGCCCAGGCCGTTGACCCTGCGGCCAGCACGGCTCCGGGCAGAGCTCGGTGTGGCGCCCTCCCTCCGCACCCTCCCCGCAGGTCCGGGCTCAGCTGGTCCTCGGGAGGCACTGGCGTTTCTTAAACGCTCCCTGGAAAATACTAATAGATAGCTAGAGTGGAGAGCTACCGCTTTGGGAGGATTCACAAAACCCCATTTCATTAAACTAATCATTGTGGTTCCTCCTGGAAGTTAGGGAGGTATGAATTGTGGATGAACGTGAATGAAGGTGACCTGCATCTTTGAAAAAAATTCTCGCTCAAGGACATGCTCATTGATGTCAGGGAGAAGGGAAGGGCGGGCGGGCGGGGATGAGAGAAAGAAAGAGAAGGAGGGAGAGAGGGTGGGGGGAGAGAGAGAGAGAGAGAGAGAGAGACGGACGTCTGTTGGCTGCCTCTCACAAGCACCCTGACGGGAGACCAAACCCACAACCCAGGTGCGTGCCCTGACTGGGAATCGAACCAGTAATCTTTCGCTTTGCAGGACGGTACCCCATCCGCTGGGCCACACTGGCCAGGGCAAGGTGACTGTCGTCGATTTTTTCAGGCAGCCTGCATCTTTTCCCGACCCCCCGTGGCTGTCTGAAGGGAAGCTCCAGGTCCCTGCAGAACCACCCTTTCCAGAGCCGTCTGTGCCAGAGCCCACTCGCTCCCCATCGGGACGCGGGGTCCTCCCCGGGCCTGCCCCCCAGCACTGAGCACAGGCCACGCCCTCTCTCAGGTCGGCTCCACGCCAGCCGCCTCCTGCCACGAGCCACCTTCCCACAGCAGGAAACGGACGAGGCAGCTCTGCGTGTGAGTTTTCCTGCTTCACACTTTAGGCTTCTTTTTAGGTTCCCGGTGTTTTATAAACATGGTTTTTAAACGCCCGTTTTTCTTGCGGCGGCAGCGCACAGGCCCACAGCCCCTCCGTCCGTGCCTCTTCCCAGCAGACGCTCGGGAGGGGGCCCGCCAGGAGACTTTCCAACTTTGCTTACGAAGAGATTCAGCCGCTGTATTTACCAGTAAACCTCCGCCTAATCTCTGAGCAGTCTGACTCCCCGCCCCGGGCTCATGGAAAATTCAGCTTCTCTGGACCAGTCCCATTTTGAGACGATGTTGCAAGCACTAAAACTTGTAATTTAACAACATCGGCGGGGGTGGGCTGGACTCTCCCAGGGCCCCCACCGTTCCCTGCCCCTGGGTCAGGCCCCTCCCAGAGGTGCAGAGACTTTGATGGGCTACAGGGGTATTAGATGCGGGGCTTAGTTTAATCGACAATTGTACCCAGGAGTTCCGATCCTTTACGTCACAAGAAGGAGAGCTTTAGTTTTAACGCCCATGGCGCTTCCACACGCATCCTGGTGAGTGAAGCAGCCCCCCAGGGTCAGGGCGGGGCCCGGTGACCTCCACCCGGGGGTGTGCGGAGGGGCGACTGGGACACAGGCTGACGATCCTACGACTCACACGCTGACCGGTCCTCCCCCGAATTTCCGGTTTCGTCGACAGGGAAAAGGTGTCCCCGGTCCGAAGGCTGAATCCGCTGTTTTCGTAGAGGAACCCGCGGCTGTATCTCTGCAGTGTGAAACGGGGGTTGTCGGAACGGCCAGAGAACAAGGGTGCCCGGGCTGAGCGGAGAAGACCGGTTCATTTTAAAGGGAGCAGCAGCCGTCGGGGAAACAGAATTCAGGGGTGAATCGAGTGTAGCCCCCGGGTGTGACTTGGGGGGATGCCTGCCGCTCTAGTCCCCTCCCCTCCCCTCCTGCTGCTGCTACGACGACGAACTCCAGTCCCGAGCCAACCGGGAGACAGCCATGGTTTCCTCTCCGCTGGTCACATGGGGCCCCGTTTCTTCGTCTAGATGATGGGCCTTCCTAACATCAACGCCTCCTTCCAGGGAAGGTCAGTCTCCCAGACCCCGCTGCAGCTGCAGCTTCGTCCTGTCAGCTCCTGTGAGAGCACGACCCTCCCGGGAGCCCCGTTGGGGCTGTGCTGGTGCGGCGCTCATGGTTTCAGGACGTCCATCTCTGCTCTGCCGGGGAAAGGGGTGGCGAGGCCGGGGGGTGGGGGCGAAGGAGCAGGTCCCTTTCCCACGGTCTGGGTCACACGCTGGCCTGCCCCCGGGTGCACGGAGGGGCGCCGGCCGAGGACGGGAGACTCGAGGGCCAGAGACAAAGGACTGTGTTATTCATGTGCAGCAGGTAACATGCACTGGATGCCCACACGGGTCCCCTCGTCTCCCGAGTCCCCTGGGGGCATGTGAAGGCTGTGGCACAGCCGACAATTCTGAACCCAGGAAACTGCAGTTGTTTGAAAGAGCTGCTAGCAAACCCGCTCGCCGTCTGCCCCGGGACAGAGACTGAGCTTCAGGGTCCCAGCCAGAAGACGGCTCTGCCCTCCGTGTCGGAGGGCGCGCCAGCTTCCTCGCTGCCGGCTCCACGTGCGCCCGTGGACGGGCGAGAGCAGGACTCGCGGCGCCTCCTGCTCAGAAGCCAGGCAGACTCGGGGCCCCCGGGGACGCTCTCCCCAACCGTTAGCCACTCCCCGCCTCTCCCCCGCGGGCTGGCCCAGTGCTGCCCAGGGCTCTATGCGCTTCCGCAGAATCTTGGCATCGCGTCGGGACGGCCCTACCAGGCCCAGCGGGTGGACTTGGACTTGTCTAAGCCGGACATGGCGACTCCCCGTCCCCAGCCTCGTTAGGAAGGGACACATGGGTCCCTGCTGGCCGACAAGACACGGGAGGGGCGCTTCAGGGGGCCTTTGGGGGCAGATTTCGTGGCTCGTCAGGGGAGAAGCAGTCGGCCTCTCTTCTTCCCCTTGCTCTCGAGTGAAGGTTACGTTCCCGTGTGGCTGGATCCACCTTGTGAGCACCGGACGCGGAGGAGACGGGGGGCAATGGGGCGAACCTGGCTCCTCGGGGACTCTGCTCGGCCCCTGAGTTATTCCCGCGGCCGCCTCGAGACTTCTTCGGAGAGACACACGCTGTCGGCGAGGCCGTTCTTATCGCATCTAAAAGCGTCCTAGCTGACACCGGGAACAGTCAGCAGGGGGTGCACTGGGGTTCCAGTCTCTGCCTCTCCACCTTTTGGGGGGCCTCTGTCCACTGCGCCCGACACGGGGGGCACATCTGTAGCTTTGCGGGTTCTGTGACACTGAGTTTTGAAAACACTGAGTTGGAGGATCCCTGTGGTCCCTTCAAACGCCACCACTCTATGACCCAGTTTCCAAAAAGTTCTAAGAAAAATAATAAAACTAAATACAGCTCGTCTTAATGGTAGTTCTGGGCAGCGAGCCACTGTCAGGAGAAAACAGACCTTGAAAGAGAAAAGCACCGTGCGTGCGTGCGGCCTGCTGGCTGCAGGAGGAAGTGGGGACGCAGCGGCCACCTCTGTGTGTGCCCCAACGTGACGTAGCAGGGACCTGGACAGAACCACGGACAGCTCCCGGCGTTCCCGCCGCCCCTCCCGTTCATTCCAGCAGGTGGCGCTGTCAGCCCTCGTTCTGACTCCAGTTTTCTCAAACCAATCACTGCGCGCGCTTAATGTATCAAGTGACAAATGTAACTAACAACTGACGGGGAGCGTGGACTGTGGGGCTCCGAACTCTCCCGGCAGGTGAGGTGACATTTAGACACCAGGACTCAAAAGTGTCAGCTGGAAGCAGCAGAGAAGAATCTGGTCACTCAGTGGAGAACAGGTGAAGCGGACAGACAAGGAGGGAGGTGCGCGCAGGGAGCCCGCTGAGCGGACCGGCTACACTGTTGCGGTTTCGGCAATGCTTCGTTCCTTCCATTGTAAGACGAAGGTCGAGGGCTGGTAACTTCCAAAGCGAGGCTCTGTGCAAAATCTCGTTTAACCACGCAACAAAAATGGTAACAGGCAGAGAGGTGTTGTGGCCTCACTCTACAGTGAGGAACGCCATGAATACACAGTCTGTTTCCTTTTTCCGTGAGGGGAGGGCTAAGTGCCCATGAGGAGGAAGAACAGGGCATGCGGCACGGGAAGGCTCCAGGATGAGGAGGGGTGGGGTGGGGGCTGAAGACGAGGTCACCGCGGGCGTCAGAGGAACGAGGGGAAGGGGGAAGAAGGTTGGAGAATCTCTTTGCTCCTGTCCGAGGCCAGGGGCCCGGCCTGGACTCTGGGCGCCCCACCCCTGTCTAGTCCACGACACCCTCCGGCTCTCTCCCGCTCTCTTCGACAGCATCCATCACTTTCGTACGCCCCTGACCCTGACAGTCCCCCCACCAGGACACCCCTCTGTGACCTGGCATCTCACCCCTTTGCTGCCAGAGCCCTTTTCAGCGCTGCTGGCACTCTGCGTCTGGGTCTGCCCCCCCCTCAGTTCCCCCCTGACCCCACCGCCCCCGCACAGCCTTCTCGGCCACCACCTTGGGCGGCTGTCCCCGCCTCCGCAGGGCCGGGGCACCTGCTGCTCCCTCCACCAGCGGACGCCACGGCTTCCCCTTCACCTCCCTGCTCCCAAGGCCTCACCGCAGAGGTCCCTTCCCTAAGCGTTCTCCGTTACGGAGGAATCCCCTCCCTCGGCGGCTCCTCCCCCCTTACCCTGATTTCCTAAATCGCCGTCTGGCACAGCACACGCCGATGTGCTC